ATCTAACATCCCCAGCCCCTAACATAGCCAAAGGAGCGTCTAAACTAGGACACAGCTCACCTCTTTCAGGGCTATACAGCAGCTGCGCTGGGAGTCCTAAGAGCATAAGCGGCACCAGACAGAGGCGTTTGCAACTCGGTTGCCTAGTCCTGGACACGCTGGGTGGGAAAACCATAACCCAGGGTCAAGTGACATGACATCTCTAACATCCCCAGCCCCTAACATAGCCAAAGGAGCGTCTAAACTAGGACACAGCTCACCTCTTTCAGGGCTATACAGCAGCTGCGCTGGGAGTCCTAAGAGCATAAGCGGCACCAGACAGAGGCGTTTGCAACTCGGTTGCCTAGTCCTGGACACGCTGGGTGGGAAAACCATAACCCAGGGTCAAGTGACATGACATCTCCCTCCCGTCGGGAAAAAGGACCTCGGCCTGGTTACCCTTTGGGAGCATCAGAGAGGCTGCTGGGTTGCTGAATGAAGGGGGTGGAATATCCTGACACGACCTCAGGGTGTAACTCACACTGTTGAGGAGGAAGATGGACTTCGGCCAAGAGCAAGGCAAACATTTGCTGTAGTCATAATAACCAGAGCTAAACAGTCATGCCTTTCCCAAGGAGCCAAATAGGCCAGGGCTTCAGGCTACAGGAATCTGCAGAGAACTGCAACGCCTGACTACAACTCTGTGCACGGGCTTTAAAGGAAATCTCCCTGCAGCTGGATTGTAAAAGTACCAGTGAGGCCCCACGAGGACAGGGAAGCCAATGGGAGAGGTGGAATTGAGGCCGGACAGATGCTGATGTCTAGGGGATCCAAGCCATGAGCCTGTATGAAGGTGCTGCCCAGTGGGGGAGGACAGGGAAGTGAGCAGCCTGCCCCTCCCCACGACCACATGCAAGAGAAGAGAGAAAGCCCCAGCCTCAGAAGTCAAAGCAGGCAAGTGCCGAGGGGGTGAGTCACTGGCTTAATGCTGCTTCTGTTAAAGTCGACAGGAGTTTTGCTGTTGGCGAGTGGATGCTGCGCAGATAGGCCGTGGCTGAGCCTTTTGGAAAATCCCGGCCCAATTGTCCTGCACAGAATGGCTCTCCACACTCTCCCCTGCAGCATGATTGGTGCATTTCACAGGGCCACTCCCTTCCCATCTTCCTCCCTCAGCAGCCAGTGAATGGCCAGGGATCTAGAGCATGAGCTTAAATGCTTCTAGCTGGAGCAGAGCTAGAACCAGGAGGGGCCAGGTGGGGCGGCCCCCGCCCCATGTCTCAGTGCTGCACACTATAGACAGAGCAGTAGTTAGAACATAGGACTCCTTCCCACACAACCCAAGCCCTGAGCTGTGGGTGTTTTTCCCCCAGTTAGCTGTATTAGGATTAGCTGGTGTGTTTTATTTATTTTGGCTCAATAACTCATTTAATCTGTTTTCACTTGCAAACACATGCATCCTAATTTTTATACTTAATAAAAACACTTTTGCTTATTATCAAGCCCAGGTTAAATAATTGTCGTTTGGGTGGGAGCTAGGCTTGCCAGATGCTTTCAACAAAAATCCCGAACATGGCAAACTTGGTTGAACACAAAACAAAACCAAAAAATGGGAGACCAAAGTAGTTGAGGGGAAAAAAAAAAAAAAAAGGTCGCCGCACCTTTAAATAGCCCCGTGTGCCTCATTCCCCTGCCAGACGAGGCAGGGAAAACAATCCCCACCGGGCTTCCGTCCGAGGGAAACAGGAAATACGGGACATTTCACATATCCGGTAATTTCTGGTTTTTTTTTTACCAGACAGGGGCAGAATACCAAATTGTCCGGGTGAAAAATGGAAACACAGCAACCTTAGTGGGAGCAACCACTGTGCATCTGTCTCTTTCATCAGTAAAGAGAACAAACCTCTTAGGAGCTTTCTCTGTGTAAAATGTTAGCCTCAGGCTCAGGGGGAAAAGAAAGCAGGACAGTAGGGGGACACAGCTCTGCCCACACTAGTAAATATAATACCCATGGTCATTCAGGCTGCAGGTGCAGAGGCGACAACAGGGCTCAGGCAGTTGTACCACTTTGTCATGAAAACCTGCCACGTGGAGAGAAACGTGTCTTCATCCAAAGGCCCACTTGGGGATGGGGAGCTGCGCTCTCCCAAACTCCCCCTTACCTTACATCCTGTGAACACCTTCAGCCTTCAAGACTTTGTGGGGGAACTGGCTCCGTTGCTCTTTGTGTGCGTGCGATGTGCCATTGGGTCTATGCCTCTTGGCCTATGTGAAGGCCCAGAATTTTGGCTAGGGTTTGGCTCAGAATCTCTAGTGTGCTGGAATGATCCCAAGGCAAAAGCTGCATGAGCTCATGAGCTCAGCACATCTGGCTTGCTGTTTCCATATCACTGGATGAGCAAAACAGCCTCTCTTCGCCCTCTTACCTGTAGGAGAATCAGCTTCATTAGGCAGCAGGGCTGGGTTTGGTTGCTCGCTTGCCCAGGCTTGTATGTTTGTGTGCTTTAGGAAACCGCTGTTCAGAACCCACATTGGCACTGATAACAGACTATGAGGCCCACAGTCACAAGCCAGCCAAAATGCTGTTGCCCCATCTTGTCATTTAACCCAGGCAGCTAGAAGAAATGAGCTTGTGCCTTGACTGGAAAGTCTAGTGAATGGACTTAGAGGACGTGCAGCATGCACAAAACCGCATCTTACAGGCTGGGCAGCGCTGGGGAGGCTGCATTCGCGAGCAGAAGTGCTGGCTAGACACGGCATCTCAATAATACAGGCAGGTACCGCTCAGCCCACAAAAGTGCAGACTCCCATCCTGCCAGTCCTGGAATGATTTCCTACGCCGTGTGCCTGATCCTTACCCCTTTGTGTCTCTCTGGCCGTGCAAAGGGGGCAGAAACACCCTGAGATAACCTATGAAGGGGCCTCTCCAGTCAGTGTAGAATTGAAACAAAAGCCCTCCCCAGCCCAGATCCCAGTTGCTGGCCCCGGCTGGATGGAGGGCAGGAGGGGGGGAGTGAGGTATGGGAGCACGCTGGGCTGTGACTCTTTGCTGCTTCCCAGGGCACATGGAAGTGGAGTGTAAATAAGAGCAGTCCGGAGAAGGAGATCACATCCTGGAACAGGCCACCCAAACTCCTTGGGAGAACCTGCTTCATTCATAGAAACATAGATCATAGAATCATAGAACTGGAAGAGACCTCAGAAGGTCATCAAGTCCAGCCCCCTGCTCTAGGCAGGACCAATTCCAACTAAGTCAACCCGGCCAGGGCTTTGTCAAGCCGAGACTTAAACACTTCTAGGGATGGAGACTCCACTACTTCCCTAGGTAACCAATTCCAGTGCTTCACCACACTCCTAGTGAAATAGTTTTTCCTAATATCCAACCTGGACCTCTCCCACCACAACTTGAGACCATTGCTCCTTGTTCTGCCATCTGTCACTACTGAGACCAGCCTCTCTCCATCCTCTTTGGAACCACCCTTCAGGAAGTTGAAGGCTGCTATCAAGTCCCCCCTCACTCTTCGCTTCTGCAGACTAAACAGACCCAAGTCCCTCAGCCTCTCCTCGTAGGTCATATGCTCCAGACCCCTAATCATTTTGGTTGCCCTCCGCTGGACCCTCTCCAATGCATCCACATCCTTTTTGTAGTGGGGGGCCCAGAACTGGACACAGTACTCCAGATGTGGCCTCACCAAAGCCGAATAAAGGGGAATAATGACATCTCTGGATCTGCTGGCAATGCTCCTCTTAATGCATCCTAATATGCCATTAGCCTTCTTGGCTACAAGGGCACACTGTTGACTCATATCTAGTTTCTCATCCACTGTAACCCCCAGGTCCTTTTCTGCAGAGCTACTACTTAACCGGTTGGTCCCCAGCTTGTAACTATGTTTGGGATTCTTCCGTAGGACTCCACACTTGTCCTTGTTGAACCTCATCAGATTTCTTGTGGCCCAATCCTCCAATTTGTCTAAGTCATTCTGGACCCTATCTCTGCCCTTAAGCGTATCTACCTCTCCCCCCAGCTTAGTGTCATCTGCAAACTTGCTGAGGGTGCAATCCATCCCCTCATTCAGATCATTAATAAAGATATTGAACAAAACCGGTCCTAGAACCGAACCTTGGGGCACTCCACTAGAAACCGACCGCCATCCTGACATCGAGCCATTGATCACTACCCGCTGGGCCTGGCCTTCTA